CACACACAGAGACACAGACAGAGACACAGACAGAGACACAGACAGAGACACAGACAGAGACACAGACAGAGACACAGACAGAGACACAGACAGAGACACAGACAGAGACACAGACAGAGACACAGACAGAGACACAGACAGAGACACAGACAGAGACACAGACAGACACACAGACAGAGACACAGACAGAGACACAGACAGAGACACAGACAGAGACACAGACAGAGACACAGACAGAGACACAGACAGAGACACAGACAGAGACACAGACAGAGACACAGACAGACACACAGACAGACACACAGACAGACAGAGACACACACACACACACACGAATAAAAAAAAACACTTTCTTCTGTGTCATGTCTCAAATTCGCTGCGCCTGCCATCATGTCAAGCACTTTACCTGACCCGAAGTCCTTCCCGTAACACGGGCGGGAATGTATCCCGCACCATGTAGTCTTCCTTGAGTTCGTATATCGTCATTTCCACATTTCCGTACCCATATCAGGCACAGTTCAAGCACGACCCCCTCCTCCCCCCCCGCTCCTCCCTCCCGGCCCCATACAGTCGGCACTTTGTGCGGCCATGCAGACTTGAGAGCGCCCCCCCGGATGCAAGAGAAGGCTGGAATTCGGGGCTTCGGTTTTCACACGCAAGAAGCGCTCCACTCAATTGAGTGTTCAAAATAGGGGGGGGGGGGGCGCGGGGGAAGGGCGGGAAGGTGGGATCAGCAGTTTCAAGCAACTTTTCCACATGACGAGCCAACGGTGGAGGGCGAGGGGGGGTGGCGGCCCCCTCCAACAAAAAGTCCTTTTCCATTTTTGTCACAGGGCTTATTGGCGAAACATTTCCAACACAAGTTGAGGGCTCCTCAGGAACAGCTCAGGCCCCCCGCCACAACATTTCCAACCTCTGTTTTCTCTCGAGACCTGTGCTCGACGGAGCGCAGAAAGCACAAAGTTGCTAGTTGATCGCAAAAAACGGAGATCGCCACAGGGGAGAATTGCTGGATGCATCTAAATAGAATTAAATAGAATCGAAGTGGATCCTTACTGAAGTGCAGTTCCCGCACACAGCGCAGAATAGTGCAAAACGTACGCCTCAAGAAGAAACATTGCGTGACCAGGGGGGTGGGGTTCTCGTCACAGCCTCGCACCGCCCTGCCATCATGCACTACCACTTCTCACTTCTTGGACAAGCCAACGGCTTTCCTGTGCGTTGCACCGCGTTGCACTGCGCTCGCCGCACTTAGAGGGATTGAACCACCACTTTAATTATGAGGCTCCAGAAAAGGCACAGAAGGAGTAGCGCTGAAACGAGTGCAGGTGAGACAGCGTGTAAGGTGAAACCAAAAGAGAAGAGGATTCAAAGACTCAGTGCTCCATGCCCTGTTTCTCGGCAAAGGTCCTGCAGCGGCTCAGCGAAGGCACTCTGCATCTCAGAAGCCCCCCCTTTCTGCCTTTCTGCCTGTAGCCGGGGCCTCAGGCGGTTGAAGACCTCGACCTTCAGCTTCTCAGGGAGCGACGCTCTCCCCTTTGGAGCGATGTCGTTGATCATGTCCTCTGCTGGAGAGCTCTCTCTGGAGAGCTCTCCCTGGAGAGCTCTCCCTGATCTGTGAAAAAAAAGGCCATTGGGGCATGCTCCTCTCCCATCTTCTCTCCCACATTGCATCACAAGAAACAAGCGGGGATGCCACCTCGAGGGTAACTTTCTCAACGCCTCGGTTTTGGATGCACTCCACGCACTGCTTCTTGAGGTCCTCCAAGATAAAGCTCGCATCGTGGAGCATCTTCTTTCGCAAAAAAAAACTGTGAAGGGCGCGCAGTTGACCCCAGGCCTCTCGCCATCCACACTCGTTCAGGTGGTTGATGATGTACCTCTGCAGAACGAGATCATGTCGATCGTGGTCCGCTCAGCGGCATGGAGCACGCTCGTGAATAAAATGATTTTGGCCACAGTAGCATGAAACAACCGCGTGGTTGTGGCGTCTCCCCACATGACAAATCGCGTTCTCACCTACGTCCCGTGCTCATTCCCTGGTCGAAAGTGTGCTCCTGCTGCCTCGATCCTGTGCTGTTTTTCACGCATCAATACCTTAGGGTCGTGAAAACGTGGCATGGGGCCTCCTTTCCTCGGGCTCTTGGACAAATTCGCTTCGTGCATACGCCTCCCTGCGAAGCGTAGATGCTTTTGGGCCTTGGATCGTGCACCCCTGAGTAACACTTCAACAAGCAGTTATGATGTGCTGTCGGCGAGGTCTTGCCTTGTTTGGGCTCTAAGCTGGCAAAATGGCAATTGGGAACTTTCGCGAAACCTCTCCCGGGCCCGTTGAGATTCTACTCTCGACTATTGCCAGTCTCCGCATACAGGGTCACTGCTTGAGCTGCTCTCGCTCACCACTCTCCTCCAACTTCATGTCGAGCATATTCTGCTCCTTTGGGCCCGAGGAGAACTGAGCCCTCACAAACCCGAAGCCAGGTGCCAACTTAGGGCAAGTCCATCGCCCTCCGCGATTTTGCTGCGTCCGCCATCCCGGGAGAACAGAACAAGTTCCCCAAAGTCCCCTTGAGCCGAGTCTTGCAATTATTGCACCGAGGTATTCTTGGACTTTAATTTGTTGCAGCTCTGCAAAGCCAATCTCACGTAGCAGCGAAAGCGAAGTGTCATAGGGAAAATTGCGTAGCTTTGGTCGCACGGACGCCTGTAAAGTCTGTTCTTTGCAGAAGGGCCTGTCTCATCCAAGGACTATCCTCTGCAGAACCAGCGGGGCCGAAAGGCGGCCGCCTGCAGTGACCGAAATGCTTTTGCGGTAGGGCATGGCATGGCATGGCGCAAGTATTGAGACATGTTGAGATGCTTGGCCACGCGCACGTCGTTTACCAGCCCTTCATGTTGATGAGTGGCCTGAGCAAAGCCGCCAAGCATTCAGGCTGCACGGCCTCAAGGCTGCACAGTGGCGAAATGGGCTTCCGTGGGGCGCCAGCTGAAGGTGGTGTACAACCTGGCTGCTAGTCTATTCCATATTAGAGGCGGCTTCCCTCTGCACGCCTCAACGAGATCTTGCTGGTTCTGCATGACGGTGTTCAGGTCCTTCACCCAGGAAACAGCACGCATTGGGATTGTCTTCAGACATCTTGACTCTCCCTGTTGGAATGTGAGAGAATGGGAAGACACGTGAAACTTGAAAGGCATCTTGGAACTGCAGCAGCAAAAAGAGGGCTCGCTGCACCTGCTCAGAGTGCTATATCATGCGATGCTCTGACCATTTTTGCTGCAACTGGCGTCCGCTGGCGTCCTTGTAGGCCATGGGCGCCTTCCGTCTGAGTCTACTGCTGGGGCGCGGGTTTTGCTCTCACTTTCCCGGCCTCGTCCCGAACTTTATCGGCAAACTTCACGTCCCAAACCTGGACTTTTGGGGAGGATCTGTTGAGACCTTTCGTTCTGCAAGTGCTGAGGAGCCCATTTTGAGGGGCCCATTGCGCTTTTGCCCTCTGAGAATGCCACGATGCCGCGCTCTCGCATGTGGCCTGCAAAGGTCTGGGGATCGATGTTCCTTGCGAAGCAAAGCGACGAAACAAAAGCGTGTTTGCAAACATCGTCTCGCATCTGCCGGCTTGCCATGTCCTGAACGCTGCTGCTCTGGACATGGACCGGCCGGCCCCATGCGAGCACGACCTCACTCAAACTTGCTGCTTGCGTAGCTTGCATTGCAGTAGTCGCGGCCGCCATTCCTGGTGTGGCGCACTGCCAGGCATCTGTCTCGCCCTTGCCGCGCACGATGTAGGAGCCAGTGCCCATGCCTCAAGTCCAAAAGCCAAGGGCTTCAACCCTGGCATTTCGTTGATTTACAAAATTTACAATTCCTTGCAGTTCAGTTGCTTCCTGGGATGATGCCCAACTGTCCAGCTTTAGCACTTGTCCTTAGAGGGCTCGCACGGCAACGACAGCCGCAAATAGACGCAACCTAGATTGAGCCCGTTGCGCCCCCTTCCGAGTGATCCAAAGTTGCTCCTCTCTCCACCTTCGGCACGTGTGATCGTGGGATCAACACCGTGGTCCCTGTCCCTTAGAATTGAAAGAACACTGCCCAGACGCGCTCGAATGCAGAAGCATGCAGAAGCATGCAGAAGCATGCAGAAGCATGGACGACAGCCGCGCCGGCTCAGGGAATCGGGACCCGGAGGCCCGCAGGAGCTTGGCAGGAGGTTGTCTCATGCCAGATTGTTCAGAAGATGAAGCTGCGGGCTCACGGGCAGCTGTTCGAATGGCGAGCATGCAATTTGTCAGGCCCTTGCATCGACGATGGACAATATTCTAAGGACGTGGCTGCTGACAGGCACCGGTCTGAAATTCTTGTCGTCTGAACAGGTGTGTAAACTCAACATATCATCTGCGTGAACCGTTGGCCGTTGGTTCATTCGTGGAATACAGTCTATCATCCTTGCTTCGCTCCAGCGCCAGAAACAGCAAAACTCGGCGGATGTGTCGGACGTTGTGGACGTACGACGTTCTTTCTTCAAAGACTAGCAACCCCACCCACTCGGGTGGGCAACAACCGGAAGTTATGCAAGCCGACAGGTGGAATCATGAGAGCATGTCAATCATGCAATCATGCAACGCGAGGCACATGGCATGCAGGCATTACAATATACAGCACAAAGCAACGTGGTAGGAAGAGAGTGCAGAGTAGAGAGTTGAGAGGAGAGAGTAGAGAGTATCACACACACAAACAGAAAAGAATGACTCAGAGTTTCAAGCTCTCCGTGGCAAAAGACAGGACCGAACACAGCAGCATGCTACATCTGGTAAAGCCGCAGACAAGTACAGCACTCACGGTACTCAAATTCTTACGATTGAAAGCAGATGCGCATGGCTGGACAAGACATGCATTGCACGATCAAGCACGCACACGCTCAGACGTTCAAGGATGGCCTCTGCGTGGTGGGATCCAGATACCTCATTCAGAATCGCTTCTCGCTCGGCTGTCGCTATCCCCAACTCCAAAGCGCGGAAGCGACAAGTTTCAACCGGCACCTGCATTGTTCGCACTCGCAATAGTTGTGATGGATGTTGACCTGCGCTGCGTACCCTTTGCCGGTGGCTGAGCACACGAGGCTGAGGCGCGGCCATCTGGTCCCAAATCGCATCTCGCTTCGTTTCCTTCTTCACAACCTGCCATGTGGCCGTGATGGCGTCCGTGCTCTCGAATTCCCAAACTAAATTACACTGTCTTGCCTCTGCGAAGGATTCCATCATGAAACGCCTCCCATGCATACCATAGCAGACTCAGCAGATTCCACACATTTCCACACCAGAAAGTTGGTCAAGACGGTCAAGAGCCGCGGGCCTGTTTTCCCAGGCATAGGCCTGGCAAAAAGTCATGTCGGTCAGGTACTGCCGACCTGCCGTGGCACTGTCACTCATGGAGTGATTGATCATGCTGGCTGGATCGTTGAGGTCATAGCCTTCGGCAGACTCGATCCTGCCGCAAAAGATGTGCCTTATGCATGTCCTGTCCAAACTCAATGCTGATTCCTCCGAAGCTGGCCTGAGGTAAGCCAGTGCTTCAGGACGCCCATTGCACCTACTCACTTAGCATGAATCGTGCTCATCGACAGGTCACAGTTGTTATGCACTTGGCAATAGGATTGTCACAGGTGCCGCACTGCTTTGCAGCCAGCTTGTCATAGTGCTGTGCTGTGACCTTGGCTTCGTGCGTCTGACAGTGCTCCTCTTTCACAAGAGCAAGCCACACAACAAAGAGAGAACCAATGACAACAAACCTTCCTTCCTTCCTGCATGGCAACCCGAAGGGAGTCGCCCGAATGGGCACGTTGTCACTAGACAGAGTGACACTGAGTGCGTGTGATGTTGCATGGACGGATCAGGGGAGCGATGGACTCATAGTTTGAACTCACCTCCATGATGCATGAGCGAGAACCGCGACAGCAACTGCACTGGACATGTGCCGTATAGTGATCCCTGGCACTTCTCACCGGAGCTCTTCGTGGAGATTTTGGTGGCCTTCCTTTGTGGTACTGGCAATGGAAACTGTAGAAGCACCGCTTTTTGCTCTCTCAACATTTTCTTCTCTCGCTTGAAATTACACCACCGAAGACCCCAAACAGTCAAAAGGCACGTCAAAGAAGCGGTGGAGACGACGGGAGACAAAGGGAGACACAGGGAGGCGAGGAGCACAGCAACCCGGCAAAGCCACCCACATGAAGGGACCCCAACAGTAGACTGTTTGGGGAACCAAGCACAGAACACTTAGACTCTAGCCCCCCAAATGTCTCCCCAGTGGCGTTGCCAATGTTCCTGGAGCCGCTGTGCAGCATCATCCAGACACGGTCCTCGCGCCGCACTTGCAACGCACTCGCAACGCACTCGCAACGTAGCGGCTTGGAAAGCAGCTTAAACATAGGAAATACCAAAGAGCCCGACACAAAGTCTAAACTCGCCTTGAAGCTCACATGTACGTGTGGCACTTTCAGGCACTTCATCGCTCTTGACTTCGGCGAGCCATTCACCAAGAAAATCTATTCTACACAAGCACCCCTTGAACACACCCCCGTAATGCAGTAGAGTACAGTACACATCAGTAAACCTCCTGCTCCTCGTCGCGGACTCCCTTAGACAGCATATGGCTCTTTGCAAGGGGCAGGCCTCCTCATCGTACACGAGCTCAACAAAGTGGTTGCCCCCGCCCAAAGTGCCCAGCTGCTTCGTGTGTCGGCTGCCGAAAGTCTCCCTGCCGGTCATGGTATGGTCAGGGCTGGCAACTGAGTAATTGCACCAAACCCGTCGGTGGAACGGTGTAAATGTGAGGAGAACCGATCCTAGGACATGCCGACATTGCCCTGCGCAGTTGATGTCGTAGTCACGGTTTCGGAAGCCCGCTCCCAAAAAACCTTGAATGCAGTTGATGATGCCCAGCAAAAGCCTCAGCCTTAAGCGGCGTAAAACCCCCAAACCCCTATATGCCCTGAAGCTGCTCTGGGCGCCTTTTCAGCCTCTCGCGCAGAGGGAGAAGTCTCGTCGCGCGTTCCCAGATTGCTGCCCGCTGCCCCGGTTATACAATCTGTATGGTTCAGGGATTTTCAACGACGAATGCGCCATTCCCGTGTAAACCCCCACTGTGGTTTGCGGTTCAGGTTCAGGTCGAGCCACTGTCATGCGACTGTATAGGCTTTCATGATGGTTCGGGTAGAAGGCAAGGGTTTAGAGTTCGAGGTGGTTCCCGGGCTTCTGTAGAATCGATGTTTTCTCTCGTCCATGATGAATACGAAGCAGGGACACGTCTGGTGGTGAAGCTTGTGAGACGCTGCCATGTACGATTGGGTCAGGGACGGGGGTCTGGGTTGTGGGGTTTAGGTCTAGGTTCAGTAGAGGGTCTTAGGACCACTTTAAGCGGCCTCGACCGAAAATGCAGGAAAAGGATGTGCCCGGGTCATTAGCGGCTGCAGATTCTTCCAAGGCCCGTGCTCCGGATGCAAAGTGATGCGCCAGTCCCGGATCAAGCCTCGCTCCGGGTTAGGCTGCTGCTAAGCTGCTGATGTGTTCTGGGTTTTGGCTCTTTCGGGGCTTTGAACTTCTTTCAGGGCTCAATTGGGAAGGATCCCGAATGTGAAAAGGCTTGTGGCTGGAGCTCCTCTCAAACGTGGCGTTGGACTTTCTCGCGCAGACCCGTGGAGAGGGCAACTTCGCCGCGAAATTCCGCCCACCGCCCTCTATGAAAGACGAAGCAAGCAGCCTTCCTACACCATAATTTGCACATCGCTCCTTCCTGCGGCAGAACCTGAAAAGTCAATTTTCCTTGGCTTCGCTCCGCTCGACATGCGGGAATAAGAAAGCGTTGAATGGAAGCTGCCATTCTCTCAACTCCTATAGTGGCATATAAGCCCTGAAACGAAGAGCGAGGAACGGGCAAGCGCCACAGAGATCTCCAGGTCTGCTACGCGGCCTGCGGGAGACCCGAGAGTTACGCTTTAGAGCGGATTTGGGGTTGAGGGCTTGGGCCTTGCAGGCACTAGTAACTAGTAGAAGCGGTGCAAATTGGGTGATATTGGGTTCGTTTTTCAAATGGTTGGCGTCAGGATGATAGGCCCAGGTCGAGATGACCAACAAGTCTCTTCTTGAAAGAGGGCGGTGAAACCATGCAAACCTGCTAAACCCGAAACCCGTCAAACCTTAAGCCCTAAGCCCTGAGAAAGCATTCAACTTTGAGCTCGGCCTTAGTCAACACCCAGCACTTTCCCCAGTCGCCCCATCCCTTTTTGCGCCTCCCAAACACATGCGTGCGCCAAAGGAGAAGGGCGTAGCCAGCAGCTTGTCGTCGATCACCTGGCTTTTACGGGGGGTGTCAGAGGCTGCTATAAGAGCCCCCCCGCCCCGCCCCCCCCCCCGTGCCCCCCACCTCCGCCTCGGTGCCTTTGCGCGCCTCGATGGCCTCTGGCAACCAGCGCTCGGGCTTGAACTCGGATGGATCCTTTTGTTTCGGTGCGTTGTTAGCGGCTGTACAAGGGCTTCAGGCTCTCGCAAGTGGGCTCACTTCCCTGTGGTTGCGAGGCCCTCAGCCCCAAGGTCCTCGACGTACTTGGGGTCGTTTTGCAAAGAGAAGATGTTGAAGCCGACTGAAGTGCCTGCTTTGGCCACTGGGGGCGTACGGGAATTTGCCTCATCTTTGTCCACATATGCTCATATATATATACATATATGAAAGAGAGAGAGAGAGAGAGAGAGCGCAAGAGCACAACAGAGAGAGAGAGAGAGAGAGAGTCTCACCAGAAAAGGGCCACAAGTTCGACACCCCTGGAACCCCTAAACAAAAAACTCTATTCTGATAGGGCGCCTTGAGGAACAGCGTAGCCCTGGAGGACCAAATCACACGGTGCCGGGCGCAAGGTCATCATTGGAGCGGGTGGAGCCACGCGGTGCGTTTCCCGGATCACGGCCCTGGAGGGGTTTAGGGATGCCGGGGGCAATCATTCTTGCAAAAAGGTCAGGGTTCATGCTACCCACATGTACCGAGCATATAGACTGTTGAGATGACTCGGCTCAGAACCCCGTGGCGTCGAAGTACGAAGGCCCAAACGGAAGGGGCCTATCCCAGGAGCCCCGACGGCCGCACGCAGCAAAAAAAATCAAAGTCATTTTCATCGGAGGGCTTGCGGGATCAAATCCCTGAGCCAAATTCGCATGTAAAGAGTGCGACAGACATGTGAAAACAAGCAGTTGGCATGTTGCCCAACTACCCTTCCCCATATGAATGAGATATTACAAGGGTTCAATCTAATCTCCGCAAACTTCACTCCCAGCAGACAGCTCAGAAGCCCGACACCCCACTTAAGGACCAAAAGATCCTCAGCCGATCCCCCCGCTTGAGTTCTCTACGGGCTCTAGTGCCCTCGATGCCACTCCTGCCTCAGATAGGGCAGCTTGGACTTCATGTTTGCAGCAATCTGCTCAGTGATGCCTTCCTCACCTCGGCACGGAAGGATCGGCTTCGAGGGTGACATGCAGTCGCTGAGGGGAGACGGCTGGGACTTTTTCCTTGCCAACAGGATCCTTGCTGCTGCCCCCCATGCCCGCCTCAACACCAGAAGCCAGCTTTCAGGCCAAAAGCTGAAACCTACATACATTATATACCCTAAAACCTTAATCATCCTACACATAAGCCCGAACGAATGCAAAACCCCTCATGAAGCTCCATCAGCCCAATTCTGGGGTCATCACCGAGCACTTCCCGAAGCTCCGTTCGGAGGAGCTCTTGCTTCTCCGGGTTCATCGCCAAGTACAACAGATTCCAGTTGATTACCTCGGCTATGACTCAGGACTTACGTTTAAGGTTTATAGGACAAGGGGTGTACTTACTTCAGCATAAGGCTTCCGAGCAGTTAAGGCATTCACGCTTGGGGCTTCGTGGGCTCTTCGGGCTTCGGGCTTGAGTGTTGACAAATTTCGACTTGCGTGCAGAGACGTGCGCAGCAAAGCAGCCTCAGTAATCAGTACCAGTTTACCAGTCACCACCACAGGCATTGAAGTCTAAGTCCCACCCCACTAAGCCCCGTAAATCCCTGCAAAATGTCACCCAGAACCAGTTGCAGACTGCGTGGTGTCAATGCCCGCCAGCATGATGCTTGCAGCCACCTTGTGTCAGGGACGACAGCGGCGGAAGTTATTCCTGGTTTAGGACGTTGAGGGCTCAGTGAAAGGGGTGGGTTGGGGATGTTATTCCAACATTGTTGCAGGTGCACCTACCAAGGCTTCAGGTTCTAGCATGCACCCTGAGCTGAACATTCTACATTCCTCGTTCAGTCCCTTCCCCAACCCTAGAGCCTCAAGGTCCCTGAAAGGCCCTAAGTGCGACCATTGCGACCTGACGCTGAAAACCCTGGCCCTCCGGAAAGCACCTCCTTGATGTCGTCCACCGGCATGCTTTCGCGGTCGATCACCCGGACGATGTATGGCTTCGTCTCCGCTGGCATGTCCTCCGTCAAATCGTGCTTCAGGTCATTCGTCTAAACCCTCAGACTGCTCTGCGTAGGCGTCAGGACTCAAGGCCCTCAACCTTTGAGGCACACCGCCTCCACCACAGCCTAGGCAACGGACTCGGGTGGGACCCGGACGAGCAACCCCTAAGCCTGGGACCCACCGAGTGAGGCTCGAACCTGTCCTTGGACAGTTCCAACGCCTGCTCCAGTAGCTGGCATGAGTGGTCGTAGCTGTGTTGGAAGCAGGCCCGAAACCTTGCTGTCCAATTGAACAAAGCACGCTTCCTAAGGCATGCAGAGCCGCTGCCTGTTCCGATATGCAGAGGAAACCAAATTATAGCCTGAAAGCCTGAATCAAACAGAAAACTCCAGGCACACCTGGTTTGAAAAGGCTTGGGGGCACTTTGGGTTTAGGCCATCAAGACACTTTCGATTCACCGGATGATGACGGAAGATTCCCATCTTCAGATGCGGGTTGAAGATGGTAGTTCCAAGCAAACCTCGGGTCTCAGCCGGACTAAGGTTTAGGGGGGGGCGGGTGGGGGGCGGGGGTGGGCCTGTCGACTACAAGGAAAGGTACCCAGGCAAAACTGTGCTAAGTAAAGTCGTGCAATCACTCAATTACAAGTCGAGTGCTTAGTTTGCGATGTCATGTAGATTTTTCGCTGCGGAGTGTGCTGCGAAAACGGTACAATGCCTCACCTTCTGCGAGGCAGTTTCGCATCCTGTCAATTCCTGTTTGCTTGATACTCAGCCCTGGCCCTCCACCCTACCGTCCACTGTCTCCACCTTCCCACCCTCCTTCTCCTTCTTTCGCTCGAAGCTAGCAGAACAAGCACCTCTGCGCAGGCCCCGGCCGAGGCGGGTCGCGCAGCATTCAAGCTACCTTTGCCCTACAGTTGAGTTGAGCCCCAAAGCCTAAACCCATCTTATATATATATATGTACACTTGCATACCTTGCAAATCCAAATCTCGCAAACCCTCATTATAAAACTATACCGCAAGTTTCACGCCCTGCGCCTTAGACTTAGAGACTGCAACGTGTTCATGGCATGCACGCTCCTTGGTAAGAATTGCTTGACCCCAGCCATAATCCTCAACATCCAACTATAGTTCTCAGTGTTCTCAGGATCATTTCCTTCTTGATCGTGTTGTATTCTATACTGTATTGTGTGAGTATTGGGGGGTACTGTGCAATGTGTATTGTGTGTTGCTGTGTGCTGAGTATTGTGTAGTGCATTGAACCATTGAACTGCATTGTACCTGTATCGATCCCAAAACCTATACAAATGCGGTCTGGGGTGTAGCATTCGTAGATGTCGGTGCCGGGGAGCGGAAGGCTGCAGAAGTGTTCCGCACAAACTCCATGTGCTCCGGCCTCCCGACCGTGGTGTTCATTCAGGGTTTGAGGTGTTCAGGGGTGTTCATAGGCACTTATAGGCACTTCAGGGATTGCGGGTTTATGCGAGATGTGTTGGGTTCGGGCCTCCGGTCTAGGATTTGCTGTTCTTCCCAACTGATTGTGCTCGCCAGCCACACCATTGAGAATCACCAACTCATGATATGTCTCTTTGTAAGCAGAACCAACAAGATCAGCACGAATTCTGCGACAAAATTGATGGCGACACCCCGGAGCCCCCGGGACTCTCACCCGCATCCCGAAGCCCAGGCCTTATGAATTAGCCTGTGTGCCCGTTCGGATGGGATTGAGGGCGAAGCTCATACACCTTGAAACCCCGAATCCGAAAGGTGTTAAACAAATGCGGACCTTGCGGAACTCACACTCCAAACCCTCCAAGTCGCAGGCAGACTCTAAGGCGGTGCCTGGCTGATGGAGAACTGGTCTTCATCTGCACCCCGTAGAACAACGAGCTGAACATGTCAAAGGCCAGGCGCCTGCTGAGAGCCAGTCTATGCGAGAATCTCTGAATCTGCCCCCCCCCCCCCCCCCCCCCCCCCACCCCCCCCTCCGAGAAACATTCTCTGCAAAGTTATGCTTTGAATGGCTCTATTTGGCTCGTCCTGGCACTGACCCTACAGTAGGGGAAAGCTTCTGAAGACCGACTATATCCTATGTCTAAGGTCCAGGAGGCGTGCCAAACTCATCCGGCTTCTTTGCGAAATCCGGCAAGTGTGGTGAAGCCAAGCCCACGGCCTCTCGTTTCTAGGTTGGATGGAAGACCCTGGGGAAAGCCATGAAAAGCCCAAAAAATCCAGAACACCCGCCTCTACCCCAAAGGCATGATTATACATGAGAGCTGGTTCACAGCGTGCTAAAGCAAAAGCCTCGTAAACCCCGAACTGAGTCTCCTTGGGTCACCAAAACGACACACATCAGCCTCGTTGATGTAGGGAAGATAGGAGCGGGCCGTCTTCGGGCCGATAATGTCCTCCTGCACCTTGTTGAAGAACGCTTAGGGCTGGTGTTTTCGAACAACAGAGGTTCTGAACAGTTGGGGAGGAACTTGTGCTGAGGGGGCAGCTGAAAGGTTCTTCTGTTTTCAGAACTCGGGCTTCAATGGCAAGAAGGGTCCAACTTAAACGTTTCTCTGCCAGCTGGAGAAAGACGACCCTGACTGTCGCTCTCTGGTGCGCTTCGTCAAGGCCTTGGTGTCTTCAACACAAGCTGAAAACACGAGTAAATTGAGTAAACACACAAAAACAGAGATTTAGTGGAGGCACCACCATTCGTATCTTTCTCCAGGGCTCGCCGCTGCCTGACCAGTCGAGGAAAACGTTCTTGTCAGTCTCCTCCTTGCATCGCTCTATCGACAACGACTTGAGTTTCGAGTAAACACAAAATTCCTACATCCTCAGAAAGCACCTCCAAACCCTAAACTAAACAAGAAAGAGCCATGAACCCTAAATGCCCAACTGCACGGGTCAGCACTTGCTGCTGCCTGGCCACGGCCCACTTTTTGGTAGCCCACAAATTCTCGACCCCACCCATCGGATAGAGGCCTTCATTTCCTCAGCGGGATTGATGGGTCAGCGTTTGGCAAGGCCTGAATCCTATCAGGACCCCCCGAGTACCAGTTCCCAAAGGCTATCTCAATCCCCTCAAGTTCCCAAAGCCCTCGGCACAGCTTCTGGACGCCCCTTCCCTCGGGCCCAACCAACATCCTATAACCATGAACTCTAGACCCCGCCACTAAACAGCTAGCAAACCTTCATGAATCTGACCGCGCCCGAGCTCGGTACATCTGCATGTACCTTGGCCCGGACTCTCTACACTTCCACAGTGCTTCGTGCTGCGGCTTAAGGGATGCTTTGTATGCTTTTCGTGTGCTCCTGGTGCTGTAGATTTCAGGCCGGCTTTGTCTTTAGGATTACGATAAGGGCTTCGGGTTTACAACTTCAGAATTACATAGGGCTTGGGGTTCTGCCTGAAACTGGAACCCTGCACCAACCCCGTGACGGCTCACACCCAGACCCGAGTGACCCGAGCCCGGCCGAGCCCTAGATCCAACCTTCGAAAGCAGTATTGACGCAATCTTGAGGAGATTCAAAGGCTCAGTAGCTCCACACACAAAGCTAACCCGAAGTACGGCTAACCCTGACAACAGACTCAGCTGATTTCGGGTTAAGATTAAGGATGGGGCTTTTGCTGGGCGGTGCTGTCTGTCCGAAGTGCTGGGAGAAGGGATGCCCTAGTCACAATACCCTGAAAACAACTCTACTCCAAGCTCAATACCTCCTGATCGCCTAGGTTTGCGGTCATGGCTTAAAATCCCAAATAGCCTGAATCCTAACGAACATGACTAAACCGAACGAAGGGGCGATTCAGGTCTACAGACCGTCACCTGCTGCTCGCCCACCAAGCTCAGCTTGTAGATGTCCCCAAATCTCAGTTGGTGAGCCATTCTCACACTGTTATGGACATTTTGAGCTTTTTGTGAGGGAACCTTTTGGATGTTGGTTTTGGGGATATTTTTGGATCATCTCTTCAGGGGTTCTGGGGGGAACCCCCTCCATGTGGCGGCGGGGAACTCTTGGTAGTACTCGTTGTGGGCCTTGACCATCAGAGGGCCTCACACAACGAGGCTGTCTAAACGAGATATTCACTCGGCCGCAAAATTTGTGAGAAAATGACAGAACTGCCCTGAAACCTTCAGAGCCTGAAGCCGCAAACTCCTTAGGCAATGACTCCTGGTTTGCGGCCCGAAGGACTGTTCGCGCGTAGGAACATCCATGGTCGAATGCCGTTGGAAACCCCTTGCCTTCTGATTAAAAACTTACCCCGAACCCCAAACCCTCTAAGGCAAACCTATTCAAAACCCTCAACCCCTAAACCAGGAAAGCCTGAACCTCTAATGAGACACCTTGTGGACATCGTGCAAGACATCGAGGCAATATCCTGAAACCCATCCTGCTTCACAGTCCCCCTCCAAACAAAAACCCTGCACCGACGTGTGTCTGTGTGTGTGTCTCTGTCTGATATACGAGACAAGGCCCTTCCATAACCCTAACCCCACAAACCGGAAAGCTCAAACAGTCCATGAGCCTTTCGGTTCTTTCATGCCGTCCACTCTTCGTAACCAGTCTGGCAGCGCACCCACGACGGGCCAAGCCTTTGGTCCTTCAAACGGGGTCTGATCGGGCTCAGGGCCAAGGGGCAGTCAGGCTTCGCAGGCTTCGGGTTCCGGGTGTCGACTGCAATGCTGGAGATTGCTGGAGATTGTCACACAACATGCAGCCCTTAACATATGTGATGCTAGACGCTGTTCGGCATGTGTTTGCTATTTTGCTTGTAAATACTACTGTTGTGTTTTTGAAGCTGCATTGTCAAACAAACTAATTATGAATGTAGTACAACTTCATCCAAGAATGAAACGACAATTTTATGACACCATAAACATATAGCATGTATCAACAAAATGATTTAAGTCATGGAGGGGGGCACGCTGATTCTGAAAGCACCTAGGCGCGCGACTGGAACATGCAAGAACTGTATGTGAAATCCCCAGCTCTGCCAGCGCTCCTTCCTCGCCTCGACTTCCGCGCGCTTAGGGCTTAAGGTTTTCCGACTGCTTTCTGGCATCGTAATGCCTCAAACTCTCCCCTGCCCTATGCGCACAGCGAACAAGGCTGAAGGTGCAAAGGCGACTTGCAAGGGACTTGGGCTCAAAGCCTGTCGGGAGCTCTTGGAGCTCTTGGAAAGGCTCGTCGAAAATTCCCGAAAGCTCGGCCTTTCATCTCTCTTGCACGAGACAATGCCAAGCCCTGTGTGTCATCTAAAGCCAGTATTTTTCGTCCAACACCATGCGTTGCTCGTCAGGGAGCTTTTGAACTGCGAGGTGCAATTAAGGGTTTTCCAGGGCTCGCCCTCTGTTGAGTCGGTCCTGGAATGTCGCTCAGGCCCAGGCCAGTCGAAAATTGTCGCAAAAGCCGGCGCTGGACTCCAGGTACCGCGCGCATCATGGCAGCGTGCAATGGCGTGCAATGCAGAAATACTGTATAGCTCGTATAGCTCCAGAGCTTAGACCAGTCCTGTGGTTGAGGGTTATCTTTCAAGTGTGGTAAGTGTGGGAAGCGTGGTGGCGGCAGAGTCTTTGCGCCTTGACCAATGCGCATAACTCCAGCTTGCAAATTGCCTGAGTCCGCAAATGAGCAATTTCCCAAGCATTTTGCATCCTTGTCGGTCGGGACCATGAAGCAGGACTCCAATGTGGTATTGACTCATGGTTCAATCATGGAAGTATGGCTGGCATAGCCTGTAACTTTCATTGCAATAAGCCTGCATAGAGTATCATAGAGTCGGATCTAGGTAGCAGAGTTGCAGTCTATTTAGCTGGGAAGCCCATGGAAGCCATGCGGCATATCATTTTGGTTGCGGGCGCAATGCGAAGCTTTGGTGCGGATGGAGACTGTTGAGGAGCCGTTCGGGAACACGATGGAACATTGAACCAATGACAGCATATCGACAGCGTATGACAGCATTCTTCATGATAGGCCGATGGACACTAGAACCGAACAGCCTGAGCCATCTTGTGGGCGAATGCTTGGACATCAGCTTCTTGGCTGTAGCCTCTGGGTCGACACAAGGACACAAAGACTAATAAGTAATATGCTTCTGGTAAAAGCACCACTGGACTCATGCCTCCATGGCAGTGGTGCTCCGACCATGGTACTCGAAACCAGTGGGAATCGAACTCCTCCACCACAGAAGGTTGTCACCGAGTTTCTTGCGCACATGTTGCTGCTACACGCACTGCGATGGCACCTAAGCCCCCTCTGAATGGCCAGCAGATCCTTTTCGGACAGGTCCTGGCTTGCGGCGGCGAACCGTTCCAATGCACATCACGGGATCACAACGGCTCGGCCTGTCGCCGCAGTGGGCCTGACACCTCGATGACATTCTTTCGCTGTCTATCGCATGTGCACCACAGGCGGATTCTGTAAACATGTCATTGACTAGTCCACTGGGTGGCCGCACGGGTACGGCGCCTGAGACATCGCAAGAATCGCAAGATGCTAGCCCACACTCAGATACGAAAAGACTAGATGACTACCGGATGTTTTGCTAAGCCGCTGACACATACCGCAGCCAATGTCAACTCCTACCTCGCGACATTCTGATTGGCCTTTTGCTCGTCTATGGCACTCTTGCGTATTGTTTATACTCATAGCGGCAATACCGAGAACAAGGAAAGCCAGCGCTGGCCACTTGGCGATTGGGTCTCACGGCAGCACGCAGCACGCCCTTCCCCTTGTGCCCGGCTTCTATGTTTAGTATTCTGAGCTTTCTTATACGTGCTGTTTGCTGGGGCATGTTGTTGATAGCCGACGCGTGAGGACGGAAGTTTACGTGAGCCAGAAGCAAAGTGTGCACTCTCTCCTTGGCCAAGTTCGGTCTGAGTCTGCCCTGCCGAGGGTCAGGCGGCATTGGGGCACACGTAGTCGCGAGATGCGAAGACTGAGCCAATGGTCGCACCCTTGCCAAGATGTACATCTGGCCTCCAGGGGCGCGGCAGGTTGAATGTCGCTGAGTGCAGCACTCCGTACGACACTACACCATGATAAAGCAGAGTGGAGGGGAAGAGGGCCAGGGAGGGCTCAAGTGGCAGATTCCAGGGCCATCGCATGGCGGCCACGTAGCCGACAGCGATGCCAGTCCCTTCCAGGGTGCCAGAGATAAGCTGACTTTGACCGTTTGCGTCAGCATCTTCATCATCATGTTCTTCATTGTTCTTCTGTCCGCTTCAAGGCTGGGTGGAAGGCTGGAAAGGTTTCGCAGCTGCTGTTCGGTTTGATGGTCGATGTCGTCTGTGTAGAGGTGTATGGGCCTCGGCATGATGGCAACACTGCCGGAAGCATCAATGGGCAGATACATGGCTGACCGAGATGGCAGCACACCACCAGACACTTGAAGCTTCACCTGCGGGCAAGAGGCACAATCAAAATTCGGTACGTTTGTGTTCAGTTGACTGCTCAGAAAGGCACAGGGAAGTCCACCGACTTCTTGCCCCACCTGAACAACTTCAAGACTCAGCTCCCTATAGCTTTAATTTCGCTCTTGTTCTAACATTTGCTGTGCAGCTCTGACCTTCGGGAAGGCTTGGTCGCACCACCCGAAGAAGCCTTCGTCGGAGACTCGTGTCTCATCCCCTCTTCCTTCCTTCCTCTCTCTATTCTTTTCCTCCCTTTCTTGAGCACCAACAGAACTCCACAGCACTCCACAGCAGCGCATTTCCCATATCAGCCCATGCGTCACATCACGTCACGTCACTGCGGATCACCGAAGCAGCTACGTTGTGTGCTCACGCCCGCGGAAGCGCGGCTTCCGCGTCTTCCGGCCTCGCGGCGCCCGTTCCCAGCGCTGCCTGCGGCGTTTAGGCTCCAGGTCGGCGGAGTCGGCGGAGTCCACGGCGGCCGCGGGGTGCCGGGGTCGTTGTGGCAAGCCGGGTGACCAGTGGAGGAGCTGCCAGCGGCGGCCGCTGGCACCGCGGAAGCGACCGAGGACTTGCCAGGTGAGGCCCGTCTGACGCCGGAAGACCGGGGAATCGCAGAGGACATAGGCACCCAAGAGATCACGACGACCCGCCAGAAAGTGACCAAAGCGGCGGTAGAGCAAAGCGACCCGCGCTGTTGGCCCGAGTCCTCGGCCCTCGGAGGGCATGCGTGTCACGATGACCGCGCCATGCAAATATGGAGCAATCGCCTCAAAAGAAGCCAAGTTAAGGGACACTTCGCAAGGAAGACTGAGACCATGCTCTGAGGAAGAATAGGTGACGACTTCCGCAGCTTCCGCAGCTTCCGCAGCTTCTGCCTTGCCTGGCACGGAAGGCACTGCTGTAGCCACGGGCGCCGCTGGCGTGCCCGTGCCGAGCGTGCCCGACATGACAGGGGGCTTGGCCGCTTTTTCGAACTTTTGCTTTTTGGGCCCCTTTGGCCGTTTCGACCCCTTTGATGCCGTCTCGGGTCCCTGTCCGAGCTTCCCCGTCTTCCCCGTCTTCCCCTCCAGATCCTCGAGAATGGTCGGACCCTGCAGCAGTTCGGGCACTCTTGGCTTGGACTCATCGCTTTCATTTATTTCATCCCTTTGGTGGGTCTGTCTCGTTGTCACCGCTGAAGGCCCAGACAAGAAGTCTTTGTAAAACTCACAGAAGTGGAGCAACTGCCGTCGGGCTTCCTGGATCGCTTCTATGCTGCGGTCCGACCCCACAAAGGTCAATTCGAGGCCTGCGAGGCCTGCGCCGAAACCTGGGACTGGCTGAGTTGGCTTTCTGTGAGGGCTCTGAATTCTGTGAATTCTGTGGGGCCGAAGCTGGGCACACGGAAGCCTGTCGGCAGATTTCACTGGTGGCACCGGCAACGTCGCCAACAAGAGCTCCAGGAGGACTTGGCCATCACGGCAGAAGGGGTCCCACACGACCATCCCATCTGAAAGCCGCAGTCCCGCGATGAGCGCAGCCACGAATGTGCCATCCACCGTACGCTTCGCCTCCCTGGTCTCTGCTTTGAGCTCAGACTCCTCGAAGGGTTGGGCTTTGGAGGCTTGTGTGGCTTGGGGCATCGCGGAAGCCAGGGTCCAGGTGGGAGGCCGCGCTGACGCTGCGAAGTGAATGGGGTGAGCGGGGTGAGTGGGCTTTTTCCATGGCAGCCTTACCCGCATTGCGCGCTGAACGTCACGGAGGCCCAGGCGCGCGGCGCAAAGCAGCTCCAGCGAGCAGCGGTTCCGGTGCAGCACGGCTCGCAGGAGCCCAGGCCGCGTGGCTTCCGCGGCGTCCGCGGCTTCCGCAGCTTCCGCTTCCGCATCTGGAGGGAGGTGCAAGTGGTGCAAGGCGCGGGCGGCGCGGCCGCGGAGGTAGGCTTGGAGGTGTGCTCGGAGGTCTTCGGCGTCCAGGCGGCTCTCGCGCTCCCAGGCGATGACCCGGAGTTGGTGAAGCTGTAAGGCATCCAAGAAGTGGTCCCAAGGTGCCAAGGACAAAGCCTCTTCCAAAGCTTCAATGGACTCACAGTTGAAAGGCTCCCCGACACGGAGCCAAATGCTTTGACAAAGCCGGCATCCCAAGGCCCAGTAGAGGACATCCCATGGCCCCGTGATTTCCACAACGCCCTCGGCCTCAACATTTTCAGGAACTTCCAAGCGGCCGAAGCCACCTGACTCGTCGGTGCGGTTGCGAAGGTCTGCTTGCAAGTCGGCCTTCAAGGAGGGGGGCCGGGTGCGCTGCATCTCCGCCCGCAGCAGGGGCTCCAAGCCTAACCGCCCGCGCACCAGCCAGGAGTAGGACACAAAGTGCGGCGCATCCTGGACCACAGTATTCAGATGTGGGAATGGTCAGGGCATTCAGGGGCCTAGGGCTTAATGGCTTAATGCCTTCCTTGCCAAGTTGCCTACATCGCTTAACAGACAGCTCCGTCCTGGACCTCGCGCATCCCACGCACCCTGTCGGTGCGCCAGGTCCGGGTCCATGGCGAAAGGGGCAGTCGGCGAATCATCACATGGCGAACGCTACAAGCAGCAGTGTAGTGCCAAAGAAGGCAAGAGTTCAATAACAACCGTACACAGAGGCTGATACAGTCCCGTGTGCCCAGATTGTTTATTCTGAAGAGACAACAGCACAAGTATATAAGTAGTCACGAGTCACTAGTCTTTGTACTTGGCATCTGGGCATGGCCACAGGTCTGGTCCGTGCAGAGGACCCACAATGTACAGCAAGCTTTCCAGTACGCAATCAGCAGCACAGCATCTTGACGGTAACTGCACCAGTGAGGTCATGCTCTCGCACGACCGCAGCAACGAGCCTGGGACAACTTGGCGACATCCCTGCGGGAATGCCGTTTGAACCAGCTTCACGAAGGCGCAACATGCTGCCAGAGCTATCAACAGCTTCTAGAAAATATTGCACGTTCTTGCCCCGTTCCTAGCAGAACTTTCCTCCTACAGCAGCTGCATCGACTGATGATTTAGTCGATGGTCGCAAGCTGGGCCGGGGCGACGGGGACACTCAACGATGCATTGCTGCATGATTCAAAAGCCACCAAACGGAGAAACTGTTTCCATGATCTTCTCCGGTCACAAGCCCAAGCAAGGGACACTCGCTTCATAGCCGACATAAGCATCAGCGTGGCATGAGGCAAGCAAGAAGGGACAAGAGAAGGGAAGGCCCCGGGCGGACTTGTCAGTTACACGAAGCCCTTGCAAATTTAACGCCAGCTATGCCATGTGCCTGGAGGCGAAGCAAATGCCCGAAAGGACTCTCATCAGACGGCACAATGCTATGCAGTTCTCAGATCGTCTGACAAGCTGTGCTGGATCAGTGTCTACCTGCCATTCTGTTCCTCAATATGCTACAAGTCTTTGTCTCCCTCGCGTTGTATGTGCCACACGGCTGCCACAGTGAGGAACTTACTTCAGCTTTGAGCATAGCAAGGCTTGCACAGGACGTTCCAAGCAGACCAGACAAGACCCAGACCATTCTATGGCAGTCGCTCCGAGTGGCTTTCGCTTTCTTTTTGCAGCGGGGCACTGCTCTCCACTGCGAGTCTGTGGAAATGAGGTGGCAGTTTTAAAGTTTCGGGTGGAGGGCCTTAGGGTTTAAGGTACAAGGGATGGCGAAGGTCGAAAGGGGTAGGCGGTGTGCAGGGTGAGAGTTTTGCAGGTTGCAACGGCGATATCTAATCATTGAAACTACGTTGCTGGATGCGATGGAGTTGTGGAGGTCGCTCCTCCACATCCCAGATCTCCTTGTGAGAAAGGCCAGCTTGCAACAGCAAGCACAGAAACCCCTACACAACTCACAACACTTCACGAAACTTCCTACGCAGGGAAATCCAACCATACTCTCAGCCTCTGGCTACAAATCATCGTGGCTGGACGCTCCATGCAGCTCCTGGGCTTTGGGACTTTGGGACACTCCGTTCAACGAAGAAACCAAGAGCGGTGGCCTTTTCAATGAGCTTGGTGTAAGCCTCGGAAGGGAGCTGCAGATAGTGGCAAATAGTGGCAAATAGTGGCAGCGCTTCTCAAGGTTTTAAGTGACCACATGCTCGATCAACATTGTTTGCTGCTTCGGATTCTCCTCGCATGCCGCATACCTTCTTGACAGGTCTTGAAGCGACGTGACAGCAGCATGAAGGTACACGAGTACACATCCTGGCAGTGCGCATACACGCGAAGTTCGGCCGCAGGGGCTAGCCCCAGTGCTCGCAGTGATCTGCGTGGGAGAACTTCCCAAAAGACCGAGAGTGAACTCGGAGAATGTTCCTTGCCCTGACCCGAAAAACTCAAGAAACCTGTGAATGTGGCGGATGGGGCGAATAAGTACAGGGCAATGTAGGGCTGAGCCGTCGAGTGCGTGCGGTTCGATGAAACTATGTGAGCTATGTGTGGCACGTGTTGACATGTGCCGTGCCCTCCCTTTTGTGTGGAGATGCAGTGCAACAGGTCTGCTCTCAAAAATGCACAGAACCCGCATACGACCAAGCATACCATCCACAAACTCTGCTGCTCAACCATGATCAGCCGCTTGCCCCTTCCTGCACAAAGCCCTGCTGGTCAACCAATGCCCCTCTCCCTGCCCGTGCCCTGCTGATTAATCACAATTGCCCCTCTGCTGAACAACTAAATTCCCCCTCACTGCAGAAACTTTGCCGATGAAACAATTGCCCCCTCACTGCACAACTCTGTAGACCAGCAGCCTGCACAAACTCTACAGATGCATTAGTTGCCCTCCACAAGACCGAATGTACGGTAAGGTCTTGATATGTCAGCCACAGCCATGAGTTGTGAAGATGGTGAGGTGGTGAAGATGGTGAGAGGCATGCTGCAGATGCAAGACACGCTCCTGTTGAATCAGCTTTTTGTCCGGAAATGTTTCAGAGAAAGCCGCGAATGATGTGGAGCAACAGTGCTGCTCCCTCTCGAAGAGGCACACGTGATGCAATGCACCTACAAGATCCTACAAGACTCACATAACGCACGAGGGCTGCGAGGGTGCGTGGACGGACAACTTGCAGGTTGTCAAGCATGGCCTCAAGTACAACCAGCAAGGCAGCATTGCTCGGCTTTTGCGACTCACGACTGGCTACGACGGGTGGTTCGTTCAGCCTGAAGGTTGCTGTTGCACTGCGAGCCCCAACAACTTGCTGTTTCAAGCGACAAGGACATGGCCCGGCAAGGTGGCGAGGCCTAAGCTGGGTCTGTGGCGCTCTTCCCTCCAGCCCGGTTGAAGTCTTCAATCTGTGCGAAATTCCTGCGCTTCGCGATCAGCCTGAGAGCGGTTTCTGGAGGGTCATGTGCGTGTGCATCTGGCTCTAAAGGCCGAAAATCGAGCGTTCAGCACCGAGCTTCTCCAAGGAAGGAGGATACTGACCTCAGAAGACTTATTCAAGAATCTCTCTTCAACAAAAAGAACAAACGTAAAGCACAAGTCCAAAAGCATCAGATTTCTCTCTCTCTAATTATATATCATGTATCATGGGCCCCATGCCAACGCAGTACCAGCTTCCTGGGGCGTCGCAGATTCGGTTCTTTGGGTCGGCGACCTAAGCTGCCCAAAAGCCCCCCGCCGCGGTGTTCACACACGTCCCCGAACAGTGCTCTTTGCCTTCTGCCAGCCAATGCAAGCACATGCAAGCACATGCAAGCATATGCAAGCATATGCAAGCCTAAGTCAAACCGCTTCTGTCATCGCGCTTTTTGTCACGGGCTGTAGCAGCGGCGCGCCGTATCCTGAAATGACCTGCCAAGCAGAGGGCAAGCTGCTCCCATGCTCTCCCAATGAGCCGAGTGCATTTGGACAAAAAGGATTGCGATGATCCCTAAACCCTAAGCCCTGAACTTTATGGGCTGCGGCAGTCGGAACCCGCCTGGTTCACGGCTTTCTGCCAGGGGGCACCCGGACCGCCCCGCGCGAAGCTCATGGAGGCCAGAACACGACGGCCACGCAGCGAGGAAGCCGACCGCTCGGAGTCTGAGCCTTTGCCAGGTTCCGTACTGCTGTACACGGACTGCGCATGTCCTTGTCGTGTAGCATGTATATATACATATATATATATGTCTATACTATATTGCATTATATATATATATATATATATATAATATGCATATACAAGTATTGTCAACAGCGCCTCACTGCTCAGCTCTCCTAGCTGCAGCCTGGGCGCCGGCGGCAAAGGCATCTTCTGCGAAGGGCTGTGTGCGGTGCGCCAGCTTGCCATCAAAGACAATGGCCAGGCCGCGCGTGTACCTGTGGATGCAGGCCTCGCCGGCTGCGTCCCACGGTAGGAGCTCCTGCTTCGAGCATGAGAAACTGTTTCGCTCGGCACGTCCATGCTCTTAAAAGCGCAAGGCTCAGGAGACACACGGTACTGAACAACTTCGACACTTGCAAACATCTGTCTCCCTCCTCGCGATCGAACATGACAAGATCAAGGACTTGGGAAGAAACTTGAGTCCATCGTCTTGGATACGATGCGATCAAGTCGGTTCAACGCGGCACTTTGGCATTTGCATCTTCTCCGATGTCGTCGGACGGGCATGTGAATCGCCCCGTCAGGATTGTACTGCCCCGAACGATCTGATGAATATTCTGGCCTGCTGACCTCGCCAGTCTTATGTTCCCTGAGTCCTAGAGTGGCTGCATATCGGATCTGCTGAGGATGGCCGAGTCTCGGCTTTCCCTGGCATGAATCCTCTGCCTCCCAAACCAAAGACGTTTCTGTCAGCCATTTCGCACAAAAAATGTGCAAAACAACAGGAAGAGCTTTTTCTTGTGGGCAGATCCGACATGAATTCCTCTCGCTACATCCCTACATCCTCGGGGCGTTCTCTGCAGCTGAGGCACCAAGTTCCCTTGGTCCTCGGGGAAACGTCTCGGGTGCAGGGGCAGCAGCGCCGTGGCAGCTGCGCCGCGCGGAATCGGTGGAGGCCCGAAGTCCACGTGGAAGCGAGCCGCCGCGTCAGGACAGCCACCCTCTCAAGGACCGTCTCTCCCTTCTTCCACTCCCTTCTTCTACTCCATTCTTCTTCTTGCTTTTTTTCTTCTGCTTCTTCTTCTTCTTCTTCTTCAGCTGGGCTAGGGGGGGGCTCAAGGACCCCTCGCGCACATGCGCGCCCGTGTTCCGTCCTGTCGTGAGACTTGTCTCAGTTCCAGCCGGCCAAAGAAACTTGGCCTTCTTTCATCGCTGGCACGAAAAGTTCCCCCAGCAATGTTTACGAACCCAACCCCAGAAACATCTCCGAGGCCTTGGTTTTGCACGATCCGTTGATCGTGGTCGGCTTGCCTGAGTGTGACACCGCTTCCTTGCCCGCAACCATCCCTGCAACACACCCTAGTACCCCCTGTCTATGCAGGCTTGGTCGGCTAAGCTCGACAGTCTCCTCCTTCTCCCTCTCTCTCCTTCTTGCCTTCCTGCACGCGCATAACCCCCCGAATTTGTAGATGCCTCCATGTTATCTATCCTCTCTCTCTCTCTATCTATATACATATATATATACATATGTTTAAATCTATATCTAAATCTACCTGCCTCTTTAACTATGCTTGCCTTTGTGCAACCATACTCATCAGGTACACCTTAAGTCTTAGTGCAGAAACACCGGCATGTGCGCTACTGCCTCACCTGTCTATAAAGAAATAGCAACTTCCTTGTTGTATGTCTCATTTCAAGAACAGAAACAGAAATCGACAAACTTGATCCACTTGTGGACTTGGTTTTAGACGCCTGTCATGTTGGGTCTGGAGCGGTCCGAGGTGCCTGCTTCAATTTTGCAGCGTAAACTTTCTCGGTGCAATTCAAGATAGCTGCGTAGTGAAACCATGGTATTCAACGGCTGAGATTAACACATTGTCAGATCATGAGGATGAAAGCATAGCAATGTATGTAGCTAAGTCAGTCGAAGAAAGATCAATTCGCAAGGGGCAACTTCAACACCATCAGTTCACAAGGGAGACCATTCTTTCCATTCACTCAAACTTTTGCTTGGGCTCCCTCTCCATTGCTAATGCTGAGATTGCTCAATGGGACAATCATGCTGGAGTCCGAAGAGGAATGTGTTTTGGCAGGTCAACGGCAGTGAGGCTAGTGATGCTAGTAAGGCTACGTAATGAAAGCAGCAGTTCAGAAGGGAGCCATAATCACAACTTGAGGGGTCAAATCTCCTATACACATCATGTTCGGCAAACCCTTGCAAAAACTAGCCTTGCTTCTATTCACATGACGAATACAATTTTTGGCTCATGCGCGGGCGAATAGCATTCAACAAACTCATGCATTTGGCGGGGGTGTAGGTTCGGAATTAACTTAATGTAAGCAAGTCATCAACTCACCAGGCACCCCTAACAGCGATGAACGTAATCAAACCACCGGAATCAAGGGCAGTTCAATGGTGCACAGAAAAGAATGTGCACTTGTTTTGCTACACGTGTAATGAATTTCAAGTTATTTCAACCAGGGTCTCGGAAGTTCAAAAAAGTCCATGAGTCGAGATGTCAATTCGTGAGCGAGCCCACTAAAGAACTTCAGTGTCCAAATGCATCATGCATCAGTGATTGCAGGACGGGCCATCTCCAGGAATCCGTCGCCCCAGCCAGAAGTGGCCATACATCCCAAAACTATGTTTTTCCCTCGGCAATTCGAGCCGGCTCGGCTTCTCCAACAAGGCTTGAAGCAGCAGGTCACGAAAACTCGTGCAGGATCGACTTTTCAAATGCATACCTCAGATCTGGTATCTGTGAGGCCTGGGGGCCGTGTTTTAGTTCAAAAATCGAGCCAGCTCGAGTTTACCAAACAGTATTGCAGCACCACGCCGGCCACCCAAACTCGACATCTACGTATAGCATTGTATACTCTCCAATGCCCCCTTGTCCAGCCTCTGCGACAACGAAGGAGGCTGCCACCATGCTCCACTCATCTCCCAGCTCCTTCAGCACCTGCTGAGCGAACTCCATTATTAAAAAAAAGCCTGGAATTTAAGCTCTGGAGCGGAACGTCATCACTGACTGGCCGAGAATTGAATTACCTACATCTAGTCGCTGTGGCAAGTAAACTGTGTTGGACGGAAGGTGCAAATGAAGACGAGGCGCGACCCTTCCGGCATCTGTGAAGGCCTGCAGGCCCTGATCACTGTGTGCCCAGTGCCAGGACATGGTGTCAGGGAAGGCCACGTTGAGTCCGCCGGCCCGAACAAAGGATGCTGAGAGAGGTGAGGCCGCTCCCGGCGCTCGATGCGCTCGCTCGTTTTGCAAGGCCTCCGCCGCCAGAGCCTCGAGGTCCTTGCACACGGCCTTGGGGATCCGCGCCACGGCGGCGCCGCGGCGGCGCAGGTCCCCGCGAAAGGCGAAGCCCAGGCGCCGCGGCCGCAGCGGATCGCGGCTCCGTGATCTGCGGGATGCCTGGGACGGTGCCCAGAGGAGGCGCAGCAGCAGCGCCAAGTGGCCCAGGAAACTCTTTGGTCTTTGCTGGCTGGTCTGGGCGGCCCAGAGGTGGGTGCGCAGCAGGCGAGTTCCGACCGCTCCGGGTGCGAAAAGCCTGCATGCTACGCCCACATGCAAGTTGATTTGCCCGAAGTATTGCAAACACACTGCCCGACATGCTCCATGCAAGCCGGACGCAGCTTATGCCTCAGAACTCAAGCGCTTGCCCCAGAGATGGCCTACTGACGGATGACACTCTGAAAAACACTGAAATGGCGACTCTGACACATGACAAAACAGGGGGGGGGGGGAAGGGGCATGGCTCAAGTGCTCAAAGTGCTCAAAGTGTGGCCTGAAAGGTGGCCTGGAAGGTGGCCTGGAAGGTTGCCTTGAAGTGTCCGCGGTCTTGCGCCCCGCAGGGGCGTCCAATAAGGACTGCATTGGCTGCATTGGCTTTAGTGGGGTGGCATGTCAGGTGCACATGATTCCCAGCTTTTTCGGAGTGATGCTCTCTTAATGCCGTGTCTGAGCCTTGTAATAACAAGCTGCTGTTCCGACCCGCACAGAGACGAATTTTGAGCGATGGGAGAGGAGAGAGAGAGAGAGAGAGAGAGAGAGAGAGAGAGAGAGAGGGAGAGAGAGAGAGAGAGAGTTTTGAGACACGTAGATGTGAGGAGAAGCATGGC